GGGGACGGGGGGCCGGGAGCCAAGCGTCAGGCTGGAGGGGCTGCTGGGGTCTTCGCCTCGCCGAGTCACAAAGGGCTTCGGGGGGAAAGGACGAGATCTGGGACCCACACTCGTGCTGCCAATGGCGGTCTGACCCGAGACTCATCTACACGCCAGTGAAATGAGGAGAAGCGGCCTGATCCGGAATGGGCGACCGGGAGTAGAGGGCAGGGCAGCCTAGTGCACGCCCGGCCCGTGCAGAACGGCGGTCTCGAGAGCGCGGTCCCAACCCAAGACGCTCCTGGGAGGCCCTTAGAGCTGTGGACAGCGCTCTGGCCTCTGCCTCGGCTGCCTCAGCGCCACCCAGGCCGAAGTTAGTCCTCCGCACCCCACCCTTCCCTACCACCTGATGGGCTTTTGGGGGGCTGAGCTCGACCCGGGCCTGTCGAGTACGGGGCCTAAGGAAGATCACTGGGAACCAGGACCACACAGCTGGTAAGCGATGCCATTGAAATGCACATCCCCTTGGCCGCTGAGCTCTTAGTAGGGGAGCTAGCCTTGGACCCTGGTACCTGGCAGTTTCTCACACAGGCGCTCAGGAAGGGTTCTGGGAGGAGTGGCAGCTGTTTCCTCGTCTGTCAGAGGGGGTGCTAGTGAGGACTCAATGAGATGGTGTGCCTAAGACACCTGTCCCCATGCTAGTACCACCGTGATGGTGATGGTAACCTCTGGGGAAAAAGAAAGCTGGTGCCGACGCTTCTGAAACTTAACAGAGGCAGGAATCACTTGGGGATATTGAGAAAATTCAGATTCCGAATCAGTGGATGGTGTATTTCTAACCAGCTCCCACGTGCTGGCGATGCTGCTGATCACGTGTATTAACCGTGTGGTGCTAGTCCCCACCCCAAGCCCAGTTCCCTCCCAGTGCTTTCTCTGCACGTGTGCAGTCACCTGAGGAGCTTTAAAAAATTGCTGAGGAGGCTGGGAAGGAGGAGGTTCCCCGCCTTCTGGAGAGCCTTAGAATTGCTCTGGGGTGTGGCCAGGGCATCTCAATTTTCAAAGCTCCCTAGCGGACTCCGTTCTGCAGCCTGGGTTAGAAGCGCAGCATCGGAGGTGTCTGCGAGGGCAGTTATGTGAGCAGAGGGGATTGGAAGTTCACCGGATACAGGTGTGGAGGACAGACTGTACAGAACCTGAGGCTGAGTCACCAGCTAGGAGGCTGGGCCAGGTGTGAGATTAAAGATCCTGGCTAGGGTGGGGCTGACAGTCAAGACCAATTCCTCTAAAGCTCCTTGCGTTGGCTGTACAGAGGGAGAGGCCTGGGACAGCCTGGGGAGAGCTGCCGAGCAAGCTCGGCAGGTGTCCTGCAGGGCGTGTACCAAGGAGGGGCTCCTGGTGCAGCAGGGTGCCAGAGACAGGCAGGGGGGCTGGGCTGGTTTGCTGGCCTCTGCCTGTCAGTGTAAAGGGGAAGGCTGGCTTTGCAAGAGGCCAGCTCAGCCAACCCGGCCCTCATCCCTCCATCGGCATGACTCACCTGTACAAACAATCTTATGATTACTGTTTATTGAGCACCACATGGGGTCACGGTCCTAGACATTTCACATTAAGACACCACAATCTTTTCACTTTATCTCACTGTAAACACCCTGGCAAGTGAGGAAGCAAGGCTCAGAGAGGTCACGGAATTTGCCAGGACCACACAGATCAAGATCCGAAGCCATGATATTTCCATCCCACTCCTTTGCCTGTACTCACTCAGGCTCTAGCCTTCGTCTTGAATGCTGTTCCCCTTCATTGCAGTTTATCTAAGCTTTACCACTTGCTGAGTCCAGGCTGACACCTCAGCTTGCCTTGGGTTCCTCTCAAGGCCTTACAGAGCCCCTTCAGCTCCGGCCTGTCACTGCCCTTGGGCACCAGGCAAAATCTTGCATCCCTACTTGCATCCCCACGGGTCATGACTCCTGCCTCAAGTGGCCAGGGCTCTAAGACCGGACACCCCATGTATCCTCCTAGAGGCCCCAGGCCTCACCAAGTGTGTGGTGCTGCCAGGGCCAGGGCTCAGGTGAGGCAGGTGGGGTCGTGTGACTGCTTCTAGTTGTAGCTGGGAGAAACCCAAGGAGGACTGATGCAGGTATTGTTGTGAGCCAGCTCAGGTCTGAAAGTGACTCAATAAAATGGATCATCTGCTTTGAGAACTTTCTCCCAGTGCGTCTGGGTGTTGTTGGGGTGGGCTTATCAACTAATTAATATACTGTGCTTTCATAACTCTTCCCCCAGTCAAAGGGTGCTAAACCCAAAGGTTATCAAACCATTGAGCTTTGACATAAGAGTAGAAGTGCGTAGGGTGCATCACCTCATCCAGGTTTACACACCCAACTTTGGATGGGTAACACCCAGTGGAACCAAAACCATCAAAGGGCAATTGACTAACTGATGGCTATTGCTACCCTCCCTTGAGATTGGACATCTGCCCTTTTAAACACTTCAGCTAGGTCAGGATCTGGGACGTAAGCATGCTGGCACCTCCAGGTACCTATTATCCTGAAGGGACAATGACAAGGCTTTGGTCAGGGAAGTTTTAGAAATCATTTAAACCTTCAGAAGTGGAAATGTTCAGGGTTCGAGAATATAAACATTAGGGTGGGAGAAGTCAAAGTTGAGTGATAAGGACCACCGTTTGAGTTTCTTCTTTGGGGACCTTCCCTGGTGTCTAATGCCTGCTTACCTCTGAACTTGTGGGTCTCAGAACCATTTTTTTCTCCTTGAATTTAGAAAACAAAACAAAACAGCAACAACAAAAAATGCAGTGCCAGGTCCCAGCAAGTGACCAGACCCACATGGGAAAGGTCTGTGTTCAGTCCCGGGACTTCCCTGAGTGTGCTGCACATGTGCATGTGTGGCCGTGACCTGGACTGGCTAAAGCTGGGGTGAACCATGGCATGAAGACCATGTTGGGGGTATGTCCGTTTGTCTGTCATTCTGTCTCTCATATAAGAAATAAGCACACAGAAAGCAGGATGGCAGAGACACTGACTGTACAGCGTGAGCTCGCCCACATTTCCTAACCTGCCCTGCTGTGGCAGGCAGTGCCAGGAGGCCAGTCCTGGCCGTGAGCTGAGCAGAAGTGTCATCGCCGTGGCCTGACTAGTCCAACCTGCAGTGTAATTTACTAGATAGGAGCCTCACAGCACAAATGAGGCTTGGAAAATGCTTCAGGAACACCAGCAGCACAGGCTGGAGAGCATACTTCTACACACCGCTCGCTCGGCTAGACAAGCAGTGACTTGGAAATCTTTTGCAAAAAAGGCTTTCACCTTAAAGTGATCCTGGTCGTTCTGGGTCGCCTGGAGCGCGGGAACCATCACTGAGAACACACGTCTAACCCGCCCACACCTGTTACTGTGTTGTCAGGCTGTGGGTGTCCTGGGCTGTTTGCTGGGATGGTTCGCTGCCCTTTGTGTGTTTTGCTTAAGTGAGCATATTTGCACTTCCCGAGCTGCCCAGTGACAAGCAGGAGAGATCCAGACACCTTGCCAGAGAACAGAGGGACTGGGAACAAAACATTCGCCAGGAGGGTCCTGAACCTCTGGAGTCAGACTTTCCTGCTTTTGTTAAAGATGATGCACTTTTTTTTTTAAAGAGACTTTTTTTTTTTTTTTTTTTGCAAAGAATGTGTGTGCTCACCAGAGAGAGAGATGGAGAGATAAAAAGTGAGAAATCACCCCCACGGTGAATGGCCATGCCATAATCCTTTCTCCTCCATTCTCCTCTCAGGATCTTGGGCATGCCGCACGCGTGCCCAGCATGAATTTTTAAAAAAAATTTTTGGACAGGTTTTTGCTATAGGGCACATGCACTCGCCAGAAAGACAGAGAGAGACAGAGAGACAGAAAGCGAGAAATCACCCCTCGGGGGAATAGCCATGCCGCAATCCCTTCTCCTCCAGTCTCCTCTCGGGATCTTGGGCATGCACACACACATGCCCAGTGTTAGTCTAAGCCACTGGGTCCGGGACTCAAACTGTGGTCAACTATATAGGAGTCCAGGGACAAAGCCATTATGCCAACTGCTGGTTCCACACCTGGCATGAATTTTAAGCCACCGGGTCTGGATTCAAACCGTGGTCAGCCATGTGGGAATACAACACCTTAACCACTACACCTGTGGGCCCTGATGCACCTTTTGAGGGTGCAGTTTTCTACTAATATTTGTGAATTCTTCAAGCTTCTTTTCCTTGAGGCCATTTATTCATTTAACAAGGGGTGAGTGAAGCTAGTGAGTTCAACCCGGATCTCTGCAGACATTATTATGGTTCACCATCTACAAGTACTCGGAGATCCTGAGTTCTCAAGAGTTCTCGTTTTTCACTCTCATCTCCAAATAAACGGAAGGCTCCAGGCCAAGTGCTCCCATCTGCCCACCCAATGGGCAAAGCCTCGCTGGCTATTCCCAGAGGACAGAGAATGAATGGAGGCCCTAGCTCTTCTTGGTTACAAAGACATTTACCAGAATAAGGGAGCACCCTTCCAAGGCCACTGCAATTTCTGAGCTAAAGTGTCTTTAGGAAAATTAGAGGCAGCTCTTTTTACTTTCATGCTCTCAAGCCACTCTGAAGGCTAATCCTTCAGCCTGACTGAGTCCCATACACGCTGGCCTTGGGATCTCCATGAGGCTGTATTCGCCTTTATTCCTAGTGGCTCCCACTCCATCTCTGTTAACTCCCTGCTCCATGGGCTTTTCTCACTTTCCTGCTCATCTCCAGATGCTGTATTTGAGGCAGGAACCACACAGACTGTTCTTTCAAGCAATTCTCTAATGTCTTACATAACCGCCCTTCAGAAAGTGATAGGACAGACATATGCTCTAAGAATGAAGGAGGGACTGTGAGAAGAAAAAGCCAAAGTGGTCACCCAAGGCCTCACAGAACACCTTCTTGAAAGCCAAAGGATAACCATTCTGGGTTGATATTTGCTCTCTTCCCATGATAGAAGGCCATCTTAATTATCCCAACTAAATGACTTTTTTTTTTTTGGAGAGGTTTTTGCTACATGGCGCATGTGCTCGCCAGGAAGACAGAGAGAGACAGAGAGATGGAAAGCGAGAAATCACCCCCCAGGGGGGGATGGCCATGCCGCAATCCCTTCTCCTCCATTCTCCTCTCGGGATCCTGGGCACGCATGCACACGCGCCCGACCTGAGTCTAAGCCACCGGGTCTAGGACTCGAACCGCAGTCGACTGCATGGGAGTCCAGCAACATAGCCATTACGCTAACTGCTGGTCCCCCACTTTTTGTTTTCTTTTTTTTTTTTTTTTTAAGGTTTTTGCTGTAGGGTGCATGTACTTGCTGGAGAAAGACAGAGAGATAGTGAGAGGGAAAATGAGAAATCATTCCCCATGGGGGATGGTCATGCCACAATCCCTTCTCCTCCAGGGATTTTTGGCACATACATACTCGCCCCCAGTGTGATTTTTTTTTAAGAGAGATTTTTGGCATAGGACACATGCACTCGGTGGAGAGACAGAGACTGAAAGCAAGAAATCACCCCTCAAGGGGATGGCCACACCACAATTCCTTCTCCATTCTCCCCTCGAGATTTTGGGCATGCATGGACATGTGTCCAGCATCTTTTAAGCTGCCAGGCCTGGAACTCAAACCACAGTCCACTACATGGGAACCCAGTGATTTAATCATTTCACCATCTGCTGGTCCCAACTCAGTGTGATTTTCAAGGTGCCTGGTTCAGGATTTGAACCGCAGTTGGCCATGTGAGAGTCCAGCGCCTTAACCACCACACCGTCTGCTGGGCCCCACAAATGACAACTCTTAAGAGGCAGAATGAATTCCATTGTTGGGTTTGTGTGCAGGGTGGATGCCTTGTTGGGTACAGCAATTCTGAAACACTTGAGGGAGACACATGGGATTTTCATGCGGTATCAGTCTCAGGTTGTCATGTGTACAGCAACGAGGACTCCTCTCCTCTTCTGATAAAAGAAACTGAGGTAGCAGAGATAAAGGCTGCAAGAGCCAGGACACACTGCTTCCTGCCACCTCGTCCTCCCCAGCCATTCTGACTGCTGCATCACCCAGGCAGACTCTTCTCATCTCTGATCTCTCTTCCAGGGAGGAAGAAAGGCGACACCGGAAGGCTGAGGCCAGAATAAAGACCTCACAGAGGACCCTCCCATCCATGTAGTCTCTGACAACTGGCAGCGAGTGGGACGCTCCATCAACCTGAGAAGCTCCTCAGAACACATACGGGTACATCATTCCCGGCGTGGGGAGGGGAGTGAACAGAAATAAAAAGCGAATTGACATACTCTCCAACAGATAAATCGGGAGCATCCTTCATCTCAGATGAAGGGAAGGGCTCTTTGCAGATGAGTGACCAGGGAAGGACATGACTAGATTTAACCCCTAATTAGTCTCCTTTTAGATTAATGAGAATTCTTTGCTGGAGAGTAGTTTTTTCATACGGGAATTAATGAATCCAAGTTAGCTAAGAACAGGTCATTATAAGGCAAAACCAATGTAGACTGGCAAAACGCTTCTCTGAGTCACATAAAAAGAAGTAAAAAAATTCTAAGTTACAGGACACGGTAACTTAAAATTACTGTATCAGAGGGGACCAGCAGCTGGCGTAATGGCTATGTTGCTGGACTCCCATGTAGTTGATCGCAGTTTGAGTCCCAGATCTAGTGGCTTAAACTCATGCTGGGTGCATGTGCATGCGTGCCCAAGATCCCAAGAGGAGAATGGAGGAGAAAGGATTGCGGTATGGCTATCCCCCCTGGGGGTGATTTCTCACTTTCTTTGTCTCACTCTGTCTTTCTGGCAAGCACACAAGCCCTGTAACAAAAACCTCTCCAAAAAAAAAAAACAAACAAAAAACACAGCAAAAAAAAAAAAAAAAAAAAAAAAACAAGGGAATTACTGTGTCAGAGCACTAGGAACCTCTTTTGTAAGTTTTGTTGTTGTTGTAATTTGCCAGAAGGCATGTGTGCTTACAGGGGAGAGAGCGAGAGAGAGCGAGCGAGAGCGAGCAAGAAAGAGAGAGAGAGAGAGAGGGAAAGCACACCCCCACCCCCCATGGGGGATGGCCATGCTACAATCTCATTCAACTCTCAGGATTTGGTGCATGGGTGCAAACATGCCCAGCAGGTCCTTGCAGTTGTTGGGTCCAGGCCTCAAGCTTCAGGGACAGCCATGTGGGATATAACCGACTTAACCACCATGCCACCAGCTGGCCCCTAAATTAAAAAAAAAAAAAAAAATTCATCTATCAATGTTACGGATCACCTGTGTTCTGGAGCTTACAAAATGTTAGCACTGGAGGGAACCAGCAGTTAGCGTAATGGCTATGTCGCTGGACTCCCACGTAGTCGACCGCGGTTCGTGTCCCAGACCCGGTGTCTTAAAACTCACGCCAGGCGCGTGTGCGTGCGTGCCCAAGATCCCGAGAGGAGAATGGAGGAGAAGGGATTGCGGCGTGACCATCCCCCCTGGGGGGTGATTTCTCACTTTCTGTCTCTATGTTTCTCTCTGTCTGTCTGGCGAGCGCACGCGCCCTACAGTGAAAATCTCTCAAAAAAAAAAATGTTAGCACTGGGAAGAACTTTAAAGTTAATTTTCAGCTTTATTATTAGAGCGACATCTAGAGAGGGTACAAGGGTACATGTTGACCAATCATCTAGGTGAAGGAGGAATAGACAGCACCTGTGAAGACTCATTGCACCAGGCTACAGTCTATGGTGATGCCATGAGAGAAGGATTCAACAGGCATCTCCGCAAACCGGCAGCGCTAGATGGACAAGGTTTTCATGAACAAGGATCATGCCGAAGAGCCACGAACTCAAGTGGGTAGTCATAAGCCTCGTGAGACATATATTTGTGCTCTCTCACTTCTCAGGATTCCACTTCTTAGGGAAGGCTGATTCTCCATGGAATTTAGGAGGGGCCTTCTCTAGCCATCTTTACCCAATTTTATTTCATTTTAGCAGCCTTACAGTCAGACTTTTAAGTCACTTAGACAATTGTACAGGACAGAAATAATGCTGTAAGAATTAAGACTGTGACAACCCTTCGGGCCTTTTAATAAGGATAAGCTTTTTATTTTCTCAGTGTCTTCTAAATCCCAAGGGTGATGGTGGGGACATGGGGACGGGGAATGGACGGTGGTGAAATAGTAAAACAATGTGTTCTATGAAGCAATCCCACATGGGAAGGTTCCCAGTTCAAATCTGGAGATCTCTCTGAGTACACAGATCTCCCTAAAGTCTGCGGCAAACCTTTAGGAAGCACAGAGGAAGGCTTACAGATCCTTACTTGTGAAGGGCCTCTCTGTTATAAAAAGAACTTCACTTAATGTGGCTTTGGTTTATCCCAGTATACACTGTAGTTGTGTCATTTAAACCTGTGGGACCTGATGGTGGCACAGCAGTAAAAGACACTCCAGGACCAACAGACGGCATAATGGTTACGTCCCTGGACTCCCACGTAGTTGACTGTGGTTTGAGTCCTGGACCCCGGCGGCTTAAAACTTAATGCCAGGAGTGTGTGCGTGAACTTATGCATGCCCAAAATCCCAAGAGGAAAATGGAGGAGAAGGGATTGCAGCATGGCTGTGCCCGCCCCCGCCCGGGGTGGGGTGGGGGGGGCTTCTCGTTTTCTATCTCTCTGGCTTTCCAGTGAGTACACATGCTCTTAAACAAAAATCTCTCTCAAAGCAAACAAACAAAAAAGAAGACACTCCACAAGGCTGACCTACTTGAGAAGATTCTGAGTTTGTATTTGCAGACCTGAGTACACTGGGCATGTGCGTGCCCATGATCTGGGGGCTGGCTGGGGATAGGGGTGGATCTTGGCATCAAGACTCTGTTGGGGGTGCTCACTCATGGAAGAAATGGATAAATAAACTTCAAAGAATAAATAAATAAAAGCTCTGTGAAAGTATAGGATCACATGGAAGAAATGACCAGACTATATTCTTTCGCTCCTCCCAATTTACCCAGTCTACCCTTCAAGACTCTAGGGAACAAAGGACCACTCGTTTGCCTCAAGACTGCCTGCATTTCCTTATTACACCCTGCAAAATTCTGAACATTTCTATATGTTCACTATCCCAACATTTCCATAGTACCCATGTCCGAAACTTGAATCAATTCAAATATTTACTCTAGACTTTTACTTAATATTTTTAAGTAGTTATAAAGCAAAAAGGCCAAATCATTTTCAAGTAAGTGACTTTTATTTTTCTCTGACATTTCACAGTCAATTTCTACAAAACTTCATACGTTCTCAAAAGAATTCACATTTGGAAAATGAATTTCTAGGCTAAAGAATTCATAGCTGGGAAACCACTTCAATATATGCATGAGAGTTACTTTTCTGCTGAAGGAATCAGAGTATAGAAGAAAAGCCAAACAGTATCATCAATAAAAAGCAACGAGAGTGTAATAAGTTACAAATGTCATTAAACTCCTATCAACCAATCAATGAACAACTTTTTCAAGATGTGTTTCAGTATTGCCAAAAGAATCTGCCCAAAGTTCTCTTAAGGGTTGGTTTGCACTAAAAATGGCTTCTTGCTTTCAGAAAACAGTAGCTCTGCCCCAGTACTTCATCCCAAATTCCATCATGCATGGCTAAGACCATTCTTACTTACAGCCTTGTGCAACCAATGGAGATCGTTCTGGTCAACTCCGAGGTTCCTCTGTTTGCTGATCTGCCTTCTGGCCACCAGTGTCTGTTGGCCTCAATGGGTCTCTCCTTCCAAGATCTAGCGTCTGTTTGGATGCATCTGTTTACAGCTCCTCTA